GAACTTGATTTAGATATTGAAGCTTGTGCACAATATTTAATTGATTTTATATTTGATCGAATTGAATTTGATAAAGCAAAACAATATATACTTATTTATTATCATAATCAAATGTTGAAAATAAAGAACTTGACACAAAAATTTTTACAACCAACAGCAAAAAAACTTCGATTAACATCAAATAAAACATCATCATTAGATTCATCAGTAAAAGCAATTGATGAAGAACAAGTTAATATATTAACACAATGGCTTGATCAATTAAATCGACAAAATTTCATAACAATCACTGAACAAAATGATATTGTTATACTTCCAAACGGTGAAGATGATCAACAACAACAAATACTTATTAATCATGATGATGTTGATAAATATATGGAAAATAAACTTAATACATCAAAAACAATAGATGAACCTGAAGTTATTGTTATGAATGATATTGCACGAATATTACTTTTATATAATTATGTTCAATATTCATCTGGACATTTAACATACGGTACACAACGTATTGCATTAGATAGAAATGAATTAATTTGGTTAAGATCAATTGTACGTGGTGTAAGAATTCATGAACAAAATCGTGAAACAGAAGTTGATTTATTTGATGGAGAACATACACAAGTACTTCGATTACCCTTTGAACATATGCCACCGACAAATGATCGAAATGCCATTGCAAATTATCTATTTGAAAATGGAACTGTTCGATATGATATTGATACAGGAAATTATGCATATCGTTATGTACAACCTGATATACCATTAGATGATGAGATTAATTCACCTGAACGTATTGGTCAACGTCAAATTCTTTCATCACATATTCGTCATATTCATGTTGATGAAGATAAAAAACGTATTGAACTTGAATTTCTTCATGATCGAAATCATCGTCTACAATTACCATCACGTTGGTATCGTCAAGCTGAAGCTCATCGTTTTGATCGTTCTTATATTATTGATATGTTACTTGCTAATGGTGGTACTATTGATCATGATACATTTGTATTCAATGGTCAAAATTATTCATTACAAGTTCCACGTATATCATCAACATCATCAACAATTCCAACAACAAATCTTCAAACATTGAAATTATCAACAAAAGAAAAACAAAATCTTATTGAAAGTTATGTTGAAATAATCAATAAACAAGATGGTATAAAACGTGATAATACAAATAATTTATTATTATTAGAAAATGCAACAGATGGTTCACAATTATATTTAACACCTGAACATAGTCAATTTATACATCAAAATAAATATCGACGACAAGATGTTATTCATTTACTTAATAAACATGGTCAAATAAAACAAGATGAATTTGGTAATTGGTTATTATATTATAATAATCAATATGTTCAATTTCCATCATCAATTATTCCACAATCATCAACAGCAACAAACAAAGCAAATGTATTACGTTCATTAGGTCAACGATTTGGACGTACAACATCATCAACAAATAATGAAGATGATAAAGATTTTCGTGCTCGTTTAGCACGAGAAACTGAAAATGAATTTCTTGAACGTTATCATGCAACAATTAATTATATGTATCATCATGATTTAATAACATGTAATAGGCGTTTAAAATTAATTCAATTACACTTTTCAAATCAAACATTAACAATACCCATGGATCAGTTACGTTCAATTGTTGATACACGTATATTAAATTCAACAAATGAAAATCAATTACCATTTCAAAGTCAACAATTATCAAAATGGTTATTAAAAAATTCCGATAGAATAAGTAATACACGTGATGGTTATATACAATTAACACATAAAAATAAAGTTTATAATTTGCCATTAATAAATCCAAATCAAACACAATCACCATCACAATCAACATTATCAACTATAGTACAACGTTTTGGTTTAACATCAAAAGATCAATCATTATTATCAAAAACTGATTTATCAACACCTGATAATCAAATACGTTGTGCTAATCATCTACTCGAAAGACTTGATCAATTAGGTTGTATTAATATTGATGATGATACACGTACACTTATTCTATCAATGACACCAGATAAACAACAACAGTTGGTTATTAATAATCCTCAATTGCCTGTTACAAAACACACATTAATTGATTATTTAGTTAGTCATGGTCGTTTTGCATTAAGTTCTGATCGTACAGATATTGAATATCGTCCTTCTCATGATAAACGTATATATCGTTTTACTACATTTATACGTGATTGGAATACTGTATTTGATGAAACAAATGAACAACGTATTATACGTGTATTAGGTGAAATATTATCATTAAATGGAAGATTTTTACAACGTGCTGATAGACAAATAATAATATCATTAAGAAATGGTGAACGTTTTATTATACCAAGTGATATTGGTTCACAATTAATTGGTGTTGTTAATGGACGAACAATAGCTGAATTACTTGTTACATATGCTGATGATATACATGAAGAACAAGATGGAAAATATTTAGTTATAACACTTGGTAATCAAACATTACGTTTACAACAACAAAAACAATTAATGTCATCAAGACAAATTTCAACAATAACACCAGTAAAATCAACAATTGATCCAAAATTAAAATTACTTTTTCCATTTAATAAATCATTAAGACAAATAACAAAAACATCATCAACATCAACATTAAATGTACAACCACCGGATGCATCAAATGGTTATGCTATTGATCCATTACTCATGCTTGCTAATTATATATATCGTGCTGGTTCAATTTATCAAGATGATCGTGGTCGTCTAGTTATTAAAATGGATGAACATGAAATAGTTGTACCACGTATTGAAGCTATTAATGCTATTGAAACAATCAATACATCACCACATCGTACAGGTACAATAATAGCACGTTTAATTGATCGTATTGGTAAAGTACAATCAAATAAAGCTGGTGGTTTAATAATAACAATAGGTAAAAGTTCATTTGAATTACCTAAAGAATTAATTGATCGTGCTAATCAATTACATCGTGAAATAATTGATAAAGAAAATGATATTCCTATAAGTGATCAAGATTTAGTACAAACAGGTTTAAATGGTTCAATGACATTAGCTGGTCGTCATAATCGTCAACCAAATGGACCAGCATTACTACCATTATTACGTTTATCAAAATCTGTTGGTAGTTTATCAACATCAACTATTGGACATCCATGGTTTACTGATGATCAACAAATGCTCTATACAAAAGATGGTCGTGGTGATGCGAGATATTTAAATTTAGATAATTATCCATTATCATGGCAAAAACAAGCACATAAACATGGTGTTGATTGTGAAGTACGAACTATACGTAATGTTGCACCATATTTAGATATATTAGGTTATGTTGAAAATGATCCAAAAAAAGCTGTAACTATAAGTGATTTAGCACGTTTACATCCTGAAATGTTAAATCGTGGTAAATTAAATGATAATTTATATTTAACACAATTAGAAAATGATCGTGCACAAACACAAACAAAATTATGTCCTAAACCACGTATACTTGTTATCCCAGATGATGAAACAATGTTATCATCAAATCGTAAAACACGTTTTTATGTACAATATATGTATGAACATGATGCTGTACTTGGTACGGATCCAGCTTATGTTATGATGTTACCAAGTCGTTATCCTGTACGACCAACACGGCCACAATTAATTGCTCCTCATCATTATCGAGATATAACATTACGTGAAGCACCTGTATATGTTCATAAAAAAGGTGACGGTGAAGTTTATTATGAAAATCTTGCACAATATTTATCAGTTGAACATCCAGATGTTTCATCACGTACTGTTCGTCGTATGTTAAAATTCTCGAATAATGATGAATATCTTGAATATTTAAGTAATAAAATGCCAAGAGCTGAAGCCGAACAACTTGTACGAGAAAGTGAAGAACCACCAGGTGAAGTACCATCTCGTTTTAGTAATATAGCAACAAGAACGAGTGGTAGTGCAACAAATCTTGTTGAGAATGATAATGATGAAGAAGATCTTGATGAAGATTTCGATGATCAATTTATTGAGAATGATAATCGACGACGTATTGTTTCACCACATACGTATTATAATATACAAAATGGTACAACAAATACATATGATGACGAACGTCGACCTGTTATATATCAAAATCGTCAAAATTCTTCTTCACAATCACCAATAACAACATCGAAATTTGTTGAACGTAGTCCATCAACATCAAGTCTTGGCTCAGATATGATTATTGCTAATACATTACCATCACGTCGTACTGTTTTTGATAATACTCCACCACCACGTAATGATAGAAATCGTACAACAACAACAATAATAACAACAAACCCATTAAGTAGTCTCACTGATGAAAATTATGGCCGACCTGTTGTACGCGGTCCGGTCTAACATATTTTTCTCTATTTCGTTTTGGTTTTTTTTTCTTTTTTCCGTAAATCAATAGTGTGAACAGTATATCTTAGTCTGTACATAAGATTCTGCCCTTTTTTTTTTATTTCTCATTTATCATAGTTTGAATTTTTTTATGCTATCATTTCCGTTCGCGATTTTTATTCATATTATAGTCTTTATCTTAGTATGCGTCATTTCATTTCTTCGTTTTTTTCGACATTTAATTCTACACGTCGTGCCATTTTTAACATTCACATTTGTCCAAAACAGAGTGCGTAATCTCGCTGAAGGCCATCGTCGCCATTTCTCATTTTTTTTTCGTCTTTTATCACAAAGAAACACATAATTATATAAACGCTATATACATCTTTTTTACTGTCACTTATGATGCGTTCTATTTTTTTTCGTCTTTTTACATATTTTCAAGGTTAACATTAGTATTCAAGGCTATTCATATAACATTTACAGCTTGAAAATGACTATTTATTTTCAGGTGCTTCTCAATTTATTTGATAATGTCAAAAGAGAAAGGAACGGGGAGAGAGAGCGAGAGAGAGAGAGAGGGAGAAACAGAAACACATTTTATCATTGATTTTTTTACGCTAATGCAAATATTGATGACTAATTTTTTTTTTATAACATATCCAGGTCGAACAACTAATGGCGCTAGTGGTCAAATCTCTGCATCACCGGAAAAAACGGTGACATTACCTCGAAGTGCTACTTTATCTGGACAGAGTATGTGAATTAATGAGAAGAAAGAATGTTGCATGACATTGCGCATGTATGCATGGTATTTTTTCTTTAGGTAATGATGAAGAAAGTGAAAGTCGAGGGACCTTTTCACGAAGTGCTAGTGCTGCTGCAAGTATGCTCTTTTTTTTTGTTTTAATTTAAACATGTGTGTTGTGGTTTTCGTCTAAATATTCTGATGAACTATTATTATATAATTGATTCTATTTTTTTGATTTGATAGAAGTAACAACAACTAAATCAGATACATTGAAATCTGCAACATCATCATCGGCTGCATCAAGTCGAGAGGTATGTTTTAATTTTTAATTTTTGTTTTTTTTCAAGTCACTGTAAAATAACTATTTCAAAAACAAATCGAGTAAGATTTTAATAAAAACATATATTCTTATCTACAGCAACCATCTACTACATCATCATCAGTGGTACGAGCTCAGAGTTTGGTCAGTACATATCAATATGCACTTACATATCACTTATTTCTTGGCTGCTTTTATATATATTTCTTTTATCCTAAAATGAAAAAATACCGAACCTTATGTGATTGTCATTTCGGGTGTTCCTATAAAATTTTTTTGTTAAATGAATTACACATCGTGCACATATGTACTTTATTGGTGGCATGTGAAGAAAAAAAAAAGAAAATTCTTCTTTTATCGAAAAAAAAAGAATTTATTGTGTTCAATTAATTTGAGATTTGATTTTTTATTATATAGGTTTCACCAACACGTACAAGTGGTAGTAAAGGTGGTGGCGATGAAACAAAAAAAGAAAAGAAATCAAAATTTCGAACACCATCATTTCTTAAAAAACGTAAAGAAAAAAAAGAAGCTACTAACAAAGATAAACCTTAAATAAACAGTTATATATACTTCGAATTATTATCTAGTGTTGTCATGGTCTTCTCTTAAATTTCTTTTTCTTTATGGTTTTGTAGAAAAATTCTTGTCGTATATAATACCCTCATGTCTTCTTTTTCTTTCTTGTACGTGTGTAGCTCAGCATTTGTTGTTGTATATTGTTGCTTTTGTGTGCATGTGTGTATTAATCTCTAATGAAAAACAAAACGCAAAACAACAGACTAGTGTCTAGACCAATCTCTAGTCAAAAATGATTAACTAATAGATAAGCTCAAAGAATTTGTTTTTTTGTTGTTTCTGATTTAAAGAAAAGATGTTCTGATTGACTTTTCTTTTTTCTTTTGCTTATTGTTGTATAACTTAGTGTGCATTTGTTTCTTCGTTTTCTATTGAAGAAACTTCTCATGATTTATTTCTCCTTTCGCTTGTTTTTTTTGTCCGTATTGTGTGCGTTGACCTCATTCAATTTTTTTTTCTTAATGATAGCACGCGTGAGCATATATATTTATGAAGCAATTGTCTTCTCATAATAAACATATGTACACAGTAACTAGAATAGAGTGAACAAATATGGCCAAGTTCAAATTAAGATATTGTTGAATTTATTCTCTCTCTTTATTTTAATAAAAAGATCAAAAAAAAGATCACTATAGGTGTGAAAGAATAACGACAAAAAAAAGTCTTCCAAGGTAACTCTCTAACATAGGCAAGATAATGGTTAATGGTTATGTAATAGGAAGGAAGCCGATTACTTCATCAACATTATGTTCATTCATGTTTCTATTACTCCTACATAAAGAGAATGAAAGAAATTATTATTCTTTCACAGTTGAATTAATACGATTACAAGTTTTGATAAAAGTTCTAATCGAATAGAAGAACTTCAAATTTTGTATGTCTGATATTAATCAAATAGATGGAAATATAAATAATCTAGTATTTTTTCAGAGAAAAAAATTTTTTTTTATAAAATTGCTTAATTATTCAGAATATTAATGACACAATACCTTCAATCAAAATGAAGAAGAAACCTAATAAATAGTGTTGAATTTGTCTGTATTTATAAATGAATTGCAAAGTCATACGTATTGACATTATCTTTAATTTAATCAGCAACATCATAACTAGATCTCTTGTTTTTTTATTTCAAAACTTAATCGAAATAAATTTATATTTCATGTGTAAAATTATATCAATGTCTTTTATTGAATAAAAAAATCCTATGTGAAAAAAAACCAACAGTCTAAATCTTCAATTCTAACGTCAAAATGAAAAACAAACAAAAAAAAACCATATAACATGTTCTGTGAAAATGTTTTTATATTTATTTTTCTTTTTTTTTTGTGATTTTAACTACATAATCTTTGACAACGTCGTTTATGCTTTACTGCTGTTTTTATATGTTGAAGAAGTTCTCGATAGTTTTTTCTATCTTCAAGATTTGAATTGGGCGGTTCTTGTGTAAATCCAAGATAGCCACATCTAAATATTACGAAAAACAAGATTTATATTTTAATTATCAAATTAAAAAAAAAAACATATTTTGTACCTTCCAAATACAAAATTATCTAATGTTTGTCCATGATTACGTAATTTTTTAATTAAATGATCTTTTGAATTATCTTGAAATACACGAATTTGATCATAATAATTTCCAGATAATTGATTTGCAGCATCAGCTTCATTAACAAGAATAATACGTACAATTGAATCACGTAAACCATCACGTTGAAGTTCACGATACAAATCATTAAATCTATTTAAAAAACAGAAAGAAAGATATTCAAAGAGTATTATGGTAAACAAGTTTGAGTGTTTATAATGTGGAAAAAAAATTACATGTAATCAAGTGACTGTAAAATATTATGTAATTCACTTATACTATTATTCGATTGTGCTTGAATGAAACTCAAAACATTTATACATATAAATTGTCCAGAAATTCATCGTTACTAAATTTTCGAACATATATATTTAATTATTACCTATTAGCTTGAATTCGAGATGACGGATTATTAAAATTTGTAATACCCAATACAAGTAATTGTTTTCGATAAAGTGCAATCAAATTTGTTCCATTCACAACCAAATTCTGTATACATGTTTTTTTCTTATCATCTTGTGCAGCTATTGAAATAAATAATAAAATAGAGACAAAAAATAATTTTTGTCTATACATCTTCTTTACTTGATTGTCTTTTGTATTATAACGATAGTGAATCTATGTCGAAAGAGTATGTTGATTGTTGATATACAATAGAGTTTCTTTTTCTTTTCTTTTTACGAATGTCTTATAAATGATATGCTGATGACAGCTGACATTTTTCTTCATTATAGACAAAAATTGTACATATATAATAGATTTACTATTCTGCCTTGACAATGATAAGATATCATCAATTGATTCTTTCGTATAACGTTAACTAGTTTTTTTGTGTGGGTTGAATTGAATGAGACATTGATTGAACACGAGAATGAAAACAAAAACGACAACGGACAATAACATTATATGTTGGATATATATATATATAACAAAATCTATCCATGAAAAAAAAAGAAAAGAAAGGCACGACATGACATTGTCTATCTACTATCGGTCAGTCATCGAAAGGCAGGCGTTAATTGAATTTTCTTTCTGTCCGTTTGCTTTAAGTCTATTTGTCACACGTCGCCATTCTGTCTTCTTGTTTTTTTCTTGTCTGATGATGAGGCCATATGGAGGTCTTTCGCACATACATTAAAATTACAATCAAAGTCATCATCAACATCATCGTTCTTGTTGTCGTTATCGTCATCAGCAATGTTCATACATTGTTGTTATAGTTGCCCTTAAGCAAATTCAAGTTGAGAGTGTGACAAAATAAAAATGAGAGACACAATGCATATATATACAATTTACTATGCATATATCATCGTGTCGTATATGTCTGGACTATTCAAGGATCTTTTTTCGAATATTTATATGACGAGGTAAGATGAAAATTACGCTGTTTTGTTTTTAATCGATTTAAAAAGCTACTTTACCCACTCATTAACTTGTTTTTATATTTATGATATTCTAATCATAATACAACTAGTCATTAAAGAATTATATTCATAAATAGAAATATTATCCAAGTGAAAGTTTTCTCGAGAATCATCGTAGACATCGGATAAGAAAGTTCTTTAGCCTACTTAAATCTGATATAATATCATCAAAAAATAATTTCTATTATAAACACAAAAAAAGAAAACCAATAAATAAAAAGATTGTATCATAATAATCTTGCATTTAAATCTCATTAATTGAAAATGTCTGAATTATATATATATATATATATACATATGCATATGTCGTGAATGAAATGATTGATTTTAATTTGCTTAAAAAAAAGAAAAAGGTCAATCATGACCTCGAGTCATGATAATCCAACAGGAAATAGTGGTCGCCGATCTTTTTATTTTTTGTTCATTTTCATTTATTGGTTAATTAGTCTAGCGCCTTGTCATCATTGTCAGTCAAAAGAGTAACAGCAACATCGAACTTGTCACGCACATTAATCTTACGCACAACTTTGTCTATGCCGTCCATCAATTTCCTTGTAGTTTTTTTTTTTTTATCTTTTTTTTCTCGTTTACATCCAACAAATCACGTACTTTGCGCAAGTCAATGACAAGTAACATGGTTGTTCTCATCTTGTCGATACAAATTGGATTTTTCGAGACATCAAACTTTTTCTAATAGATCCTTAGAGGCCTTTCTTTCGGTCGTAAAATACATTGTGTAATATTATCATCGTATGCACGCATGCGCTTGCATATACAAAGCCATATTACACGTTATAAAATGCAAACTATTATGGTTTAGGCATTTTAGATCGTGCTTCATGACTATATACACATAAATATATATACTTCCGGGTTCTTTTTTTTTCCTTGTTCTTCAATGAGACATAATTATCATGAGAATGACAATGCATCCGTCTGTTTGTCTGTCGAATGATTCCGTCCTGAAGTGACACCTAGTCAAGGTTGAGCATATGCACGCACAAACCATACTTCCGTTTTATGTTGTCTACTAACTGTTTATAGGCACATATTGAGTCTCTTATGAAAAGAATATATCGATTAATTGGGATGAATCAAGGTTATCCAAAGAGGAAAAAAAGAATGTAAACTTTCGATATCTGACACGCCTTACACACTTTTCTCATTCTCATTCTAACTTTTCTCATTTGGTTTCTTTTGTGTGTGTGTGTAGAGTATGCCAGGAAACGATGATGATTAATCACTTTGACAGCACACGGTAGTAGTTTGTGGTAGTTCTCTATTACGCAATGGTCTCATTCCCGTTTCTTTTGCATCTTTCTTCCCGATCTTTTCCTTTTTCTCTCTGTCTCTCTCTCTCTTTCTGTCTCGTTTTTGTATGTGAATAAAAAAATCCTCCTTTTGCTTTACGAGCATCCGTTTTCTTTTTCTTATCGTTCAGAGCTTGTCGACGAGCGACCGAGTGAACGTTTCGGTGCCAAACATATATATGTTGAGCATTTCTCTCTTCTCTCCCTTTCTGTCTCTTTCTTCACATCAACGCGTGCCCATTTTACACATACAAGTGAGTATATATACGCACACACACACACACACACGATACGATTAACATTGATAGCATATATACACACGTGTCATGATTCCCTATGTTTTAAAACGAACAAAGAAAGTAATAAACGACAATTGTCTCAAGTTTTTTGATATCAAACGTTTTGTTCGTGTTGATAATTAGGTATGATCTTTCCTTTCATTCTTTTTTCTCTTTTTTAAGCTTTATTTCCGGATTGAAAGTAAAAGTGATTTGCTATTTGTTTTATATCCAAACGGAAATCATTTTTCTTATTCTTTGACGTATATGCATACGATAACAACATATGTGTTCTATATTGCTAACGGGCTTCTAAATGTATGTGATTAGCCTTTTATTTTTTCTATTCACACCAAATTTAATTGGCATCGCTTGTCTT